TAGGCATTAATAGTAGTACACACACACACACACACACACACACACACACACACACACAACCCAGTACTTCTATGTGATTTTCTCTTATTGTTATTTCAGGTTTTGATCACTGCCTGAAATTCTGAGCCTAGTTTCACTTTAATAAGATGCTTCTTCAAGCACACCTGAGCTTCCAAACTCTTTCCATTTATCCTACAGCCCTCCTCCCCTTCCTCCCTTTTTGGGAGAAAAGGACTCATGAACCCAGGTTGGCCTCCAACTCACTATGTAGCTGAGGATAACCTTGGACTCTTGACCCTACTGCTTTTACCTCTCAGGTGCTGGTATTACACGTCTACCAGCACCACCATGCCTAGTTCCTCACACAATAATTCTTTTCCTATTATTTTCTTGGTTTATAATCTCCTTTGTAAAAAATACTATAAAAATAAAGAGAGATAGGGCAAGTTGATTAAATGTTTTCCCTTTCAGGAAAAGAAGATAATGCTGAGAAACTACCTTAATTCTGTATAAAAGGGAAACCCCACAAAATCAAAAAAACAAAACAACAACAAAAAAACAAACTGCATTCCAAAAATACCATGAAATGCAACATGGCATTTTTGTACTTAAAAAAAAAAGTCTTCAACATTTATGCCAAAATTGTCTTTAAAATTTAAGCTGTTAAAAATACATGTTTAATTTAGTAGCTTTTAATTAAGAGGGCTTTTTCCTGGGTGCGGTTGTTAAGTGGTAAGTTGACTGTTGCCACAAAGGAGTATCCTGCCTCTGTAAAAGCCAGACTTAGTACTAAGAACAGACTTGTGGGCTACAGCATAATTAAAACCTGAAGTTCTGGTGAGGAAATGATTAAAGTCATGGCCTCACATGCTGGGTGTATGCAAACTACTTTAAGACTTCGATAATGGAATGTATGGCCTTAAAAGGATTTCATTAAGATGAGAAACACCTAAAATGTCATTGATAAACCATACTTTCCATCTTTAAATAGAACTAGAATCACTAAAATTATACATTGATTTGATATGGACAACCTTGTTATGCCTACTAGGAATACAGAAAGTCATCTTTTAAAAAGCACAGTTTAAATTTATTCTTAGATTTATTCAGAAATATTTTAATTTTGAATCTATAATAAAAATTAAGCACATGGCTACAAAAACAACAACAACAAAAAAAGCACAGTTTAATTATGGTCTGCAATACTGTAATGCTATTGTTCTAAAATGATGGCCAAATTTGTTTTCTCCCCCGATCTAGAAGCCTTTGAGGGGGAACTGACACTGATTCTAATCACTCCAACAGCTATTAAAATGCCTGAAAACAAATCCTGAATCCATCACTCTTGAGTCCAGCCTTGGCAGACAAAAGAAAAATGAGGAGGAACCCAATAGAGAGATGCTTTTAGAAGCTCTTGTCAAGAAATTCCAGTGGACTCTCATATGAACATTTGCCCTGTTCTGACTTTTTTCTGGTTCCCTGTCTAGAACTTGTAATGCTAACTGATCTTGCCTTTACTTCTCCTTCACATCTCCTATTCACCAGTCAAGGACTTTCTTCTCCCCTTAGAGACAAGAGTTATGCAATCTGGGAGTCTTTTAGATAGACCCACTGAAGATTCACCCAAAAAGAGAGAAGCACCCTTCCTCTCTCGGTTCAAGTCCTGAAGCCAGAGCAGTCTGTGTCCCAGTTCCCTATCAGCAATTTGGACAACCCCTTCAGAGGATGGCTGGTAAGAACAGGAAGTAGGAACTGGTTAGGCAGTTAGGGTAAAAAGACCCCAAAGAAAAGTAGCCAGTTTCTTGGCTAAAAGCCAAAATATTCTTGGGCCTCTTAGCAACATACTCTGTTCCAAAGGCCAAAAATGTCAAAAGTATTTGGGAGCTCTTATCTAATCCTTAAAAGATTTTAGTGTTACCTCTTCAGAGGGGGGAAATGTTAGAGTAGCAAAAAACCCCATTTAAAAACAAAAAGGAGAGAGAGTACATGAAGTTAATCAGAAAAAAGTGACGGGGAGATATGGGAGGAGTTGGAGGGGATCGGGTGGGCATGGATTTGATCAAAACACCTTATATGCCTTATGAATGGCTCATTGGCCATTACATTGCCAGCTATTGTTGGTGCTCCTGGGGTTAATAATTTCAAACATTTTCAGTATTGTTCAGTATCTCTAGGCTTGTGAGTTACTAAAATGTGAAAGTATAAAACATACTTGCTATTTATAAGAGAAGTAGACTCTGTCTCTCCCCTTTAGCAAAGTATTTAAAGAGTTGGGCTTTCTTTAAAGATTAAGTAACCATGAGCAGCAGCAAATTTAGGGAGTGGAATCCAGATGAGCAGCAGATGAAGGCCTTTTCAAACCCTGTTCTTCAGCACTGTTTCAATTTACTTTTAAATAAAACTTATTAGTTTCATAACTGTTAATGATAAAATGAAGTCAAAAGCTTTATAAGATCTAAGCATCACTAAAGAAAGGAAACTAAGTCAAGAAAATAAGAATTGTCTGCTTCAAAACTGAAAAGTAGCTACACATGTAATATGAATAAACACTCCAAAAACAAAAACTGAAATTCAAGATCCTATTAAACTCAAACAAGACAATTTTTGAAAAACTGCATATTATTTTGTGTTGCAATAAAAAATTATATTAAAAAATCAGGAAGTCCAAATTCCTTCTCAATAAAATCCAACTGACTTGGAATAGGAAAGCCATTGCTGACTCTTTCACAGTGAAATCTGATTAGCACACTTGTGTATTACAGCTCTTAGGGCAAGTAAGGACCTTCTACTACATTTTACAGAGAATGTGCTGGTTGGTCAATAAACGAGCTATGATAACACAAATTTCAAATTTGATGAATACCCTCTAAACCCATTGATTTAAGATTTCCTTGGAATTTTTGTATGACTTACTTAGAGTTTCACCTAATTTCAAAGCTATACTACCAATCTGAAACACTAACTTATGCACTTGTTTAGAATTGGAAAAGGTGAGAGTGTTCTGGTTCTCTCCTAATTACATAACTCTTACAAAAACTTGAGGTATCTGATGAAAATGCTATGATTCGTATTGCTACAGAGAACTGTTTCATTGAAGACAAGCAGTAATGCAATAAAGAACAAATTGAAAAGATTCTGATTTTTTAAAATTGATCATCATACTTTCTCCCTAATAAACACCCAGTAAGACTTTTTCCCCAAAAAACACTGGAAAATAATTCATTTGAAACATCTGTAAGTTAAGATTTGACCAAAAATACAATTGAAATGATTTTTCTGCTATAAGATCAAAACGAATTTAAAATTAAATAGGCTCTTTCATCTCCAGATCTTCCTTGTGTACTATAGGTGATGGCACTGATTTGGTACCTAACCATCATCCATGCATCCTCCCTACAAGAACCACTGAGTCACCATGTCATTGGGAAGAGGATGGGAAAAGTAGCAAATTTCTTTTTTCCAGAAGACACTGAAACAAAATGATAAAGAATAAAAAAAAAAAAACCTGACATTATACAATTTCCACTATAATGTTGGTGAATTCTAACTCCATTTCCCTATTCCTTCCTCATTTTTATTTACCAAAGATGATATAGGTTCCTACCAGTCTCCCAAGCTCCAAAAGCCCTTTTCCCATCTCACCAATCTTACCTTCCCCAACATGGTCAGCAGAATTATTGATGAAAGATGAATTTCACAGTATGTACCTACTTGGACAGAATTCTGGAAAAAATGGTACCAAGGATGCAGACATGACATTTTCTTCTAAAATTCCACTACAGTGCTGAGGATATAAAATGCTCTGGGTTTGAACTCCAGCACCACACTGCACCATGCCACATAAGCTGGGAGTGGGGATGTATGCCTGCAATCCAGTACTCCAGAGATGAAGAGGGGGATCAGAAGTTCAAGGTCATCCTTGGCTATATAGAATTCAAGGCCAGCCTGAAACATGAGACTCTGGCATGCATACACACACACACACACACACACACACACACACACACACACACACACACAAAGACACAAATCCACTTGAACAAGGAAAAAATATACATAGTGGGATCCACTACTTGGATCTTGATGAAAGCAAGTCTCAGTATCATCTAGTCAGATGACTTAATGATCCAGGTATGATACTGGGTTATAGAGACCCAGAGCGAGCAGAAATGGGTCAGATATCCACAGAAATGCAGTGAAAATACTTGGGTTACCCACATAGGAATACTTGCATACACACTCTTAGGAGACAAAAGGTAGAGTTAAACTTTTTTTTAAACACCACAAGGCAGATTTTACTTTTTCAAAAGGGTGTCTTACGTGATCAGTCAGACCCAGCAAGCACACAGGACCCAGAAGCGTGGTGGGCTTTTATCCCTAGCACAAGAGGACTGTGTCTTTTCTCCAGTGGCTGGAGTCTGACCTCACAGGCATTCCCAGTTGGCTAGTTTAAAAGAATCAGCATCAAGCTGGATGTGGAGGCACATGCCTTTAATCCCAGCACGTTGGGAGGCAGAGGCAGGTGGATCTCTGTGAGTTCAAGGCCAGCCTGGTCGAGTTCCAGGACTGCTGGAGCTACAGGAAGACCCTGTCTCAGAAAGGCCAAAAAGAAAAAAAGAAAAAAAGAGTTGGCTTCAGCATGAACGGAGAAGAGCTCTACTGCCCCAGGATAGCATGCTCAGGAATGCATCAGGGCCTTTCCAAAGCCTTACAGGGTATGGTGGGGTTAAACAATTAGAATTTCAGGCTGAGAGGTGGCTCAGCGGTTAAGAATACTTGCTGTTCTTTCGGGGTTTGATTCCCAGCACCACATGGCAGCTAACAATCATCAAAACTTGTTTCAAGGGAATCCGACACCCTCTTCTGGTCTCTGTGGGGCATTGCATGCACATGGTACACATATACATATAGGTAAAACACTCATACACACAAAATAAAAATATTTTATAAAATGATTAGAATTCCTTGTCATAAACCAAGTTCCAGGTTTTACAGGGTTTGAAATAAAAGAATATTTAATGTTTCTTACAAATCTCTCCACTTATTTTCTTATCTTCAAACTCATTAAGGCCTTGGTTCTCTTTCTGCTATATCTTTGAATTAGCAATTGCTATAGGGAGGGGACAGTCATTTGCTAATAGCTTGACTCAATAAGCAATAAGCCTGAATTAGTATAATACAGGATCAGGACACCCACTGATTACCAAGGAAGTTAGCATGGAGCCTGTAAGACCTTCACAGTTTCCAAACCATTCTTATAGGAGGTTGGAAAGTTCCCAAATTTTTCATTCTTTAAAAAGTGCCTTAAGACCTTGGAGTTATATTTGTGGTTGAGATGATATACAACCCTGTCCTCCCAGCATTCCATTAACCCCATCTTTTTCAGCCCAAATCATGACTAATCCTAACCTATCCTCCCAAGACTCTTTGTTAGTAGAGCTGAATGGAGACATAGATATCAGTCAAGTATCCCTCCAGTAAGCCTATCTAAAAGGCATCAAAAGTGCATAAGTGGCTTTATTTGTATAACTGTGGGATAAAGGTAGGAAAGAAAGTCTTCAACTGATGTCTAGAAAGAGATGTGAGGGAGGAGAAAAGGCAAGAGCATTACAAGTACTACAGAACCAGGAGAATTTCTTGGTGGATTCACGAGACCATCCGTTCATTGGGTTCCTCTTTGTTTTGCTTTTGGCATCTAAGGCTGGATTCCAGAGTGATGAACTCAGGGTTTGCTTTCTGGCCCTTTGATAGCTTTGGGGAGTTGCAAGAATCACAGTGTGAGTTCCTTCCCAAACGGCCTCTAGACTGGGAGAGAAAAGAAATTTAGCCATCATTTCTTGCCTCTTTGGGCTGGGGTAGGCACTGCAGTGTTGAATTTAGGCCAAGATTTGAAGTCTTACATCTGAGTAGCATTTTATAATTAATGTGAGAAATAATTGTAACATCTTACATGAACTTAAGCCTAATGTCTGGGAAGTACAATCCCTTGGAATCTTAAAGAAGCATATCAATCACTTTAGTCTTTGATTATACTTTCCTGTTGGGTACTTAAGACCATGAAGTTGGCCTAAATTAACTATTTTTTCTTATGTAAGAAGAATAAACAAAAAATTTTAAAAATATGAAATTACACATAAACACACACCTATATACACATTCTTAAGAGCCCAAAGGTAGATTTCAACTTAAAGTTTCTATTGTTTTGGTGAATTTCACATATCTTGATCATATTTAGAACCCTACCCCTATCTGCACTCCTCCATGGTGCCCCCTCTGCCAGATTTCATGCATTCTGTCATAAATGTGAAGGCCTAGAGTGTCAAGTTTGTGTTCCCCGTTGTCTTGGTGTGAGTTCACTCACCGGAGCCTGGTCAGCCTATCTAGTGTCACTCCCTTAAAGAAGACCAGCTATTCCTCACCCAACAGTGATCAGTTGCCAATAGTTCCTCGCCTAAGGTTAGGGCTTCTAACCTATTTCCCCACTTCTATGCTGGGTTTTTGTCTGGTCTGAGTTTGCATGGGTCTTGAGCATGCTGTCACCATTGCTGTAAGTTCATAAGAGCAAGTCCCCAGCTGCCTGGAAAATTCCATTTCCTTGTGATCATCCACTATTCCTGACTCCTACCATCTTTCTACCTCTTCTGCAATGGTCCCTGAGCCCTGGGTGGCAGGGGTTTACTATGAGTCCTATCCAGGGACACACACTCTGCAGTCTTATTCTCTACATTTTGACCAGTTGTAGCTTTCTGTGTTGATCACCATGAGGCAGTGTCACTGGTGAGAGTTGAGAGATGCATTAATATTCTTTCTACTCCCTCTTCCACTATGTTCCCTAAGCCTTAGGTGTAAAAGTTGCATTGGAGATGTGTCACTTAGGGCTGGGCATTTCACAGACACTTATTCTCTGTATTTGACCAGTTGTGGAATTCTGTAATAGTATCCATCTGTTTCAAAAAGAAGCTTCTTTGATGAGTTGTGAGAGGTATACTTTCTGTAATATAAGGATACATATTTAGCATACAGTAAGAAATTAATTTGTCTAGGGATGTGACAGATAATAGGTTTTTCTCTAAGATCTATGACCTCTCCAGCCATGTGTATTTGGCTATGTTTACAGTAGCACACATGAGTTCCCTCCCATTAAGTGAGTCTTAAGTCCAATTAGATAGCTGTTCTTTACCAAGATAAAAATGCCACTACTACACCAATACAATAATTTGCTGCACCAGCACTGTTGTGGTTATTATGCTTTGTTTGGACCACTACCTTAGCACTTGTGTGTGTGTGTGCACACGTGCATGCACATGTATAGAGCTGAAGGCTACGTAACAAGAAGCACAGTGCCCAACAGAAGAAACCTCCCTTCAAGTTGTTGGTCAGGGCAGTCCAGAGACTCCCAAAACAGCACAGGCTATTGCCATAGCCCTTGATTGCCACCCAGTGAAGCTAAAGGTTAAGACCCTACTGCTGAAGATAGGACATACTTCAGACACACACAGGACTTGGAGCGATCAAACTGGGACTGACCTGGAAGCCTCTTCCTTGAAGATTTATCTTTTTGTTGTTTGTTTGTTTGTTTGTTTGTTTGTTTTTATAGGACTGGAAATGTAGCCCAAGGCCTCACACATGCTAGGTAAGTGCACTGCCATGAGCTGTATCTCCAGCCCTGGAAAGTATATTTCACACATTAGAAAATTTTAGTATTATAAATTAAAGTTTAAAGCTACCACAGTGGATAAAATAGGCAAACATTTCCATGTAACAGACATATTTCCAGTTCTTTAGAAATGCACACAATAAAATAAGAGCAGCCATGCTGCTCTTGAGGGGCTCATTATTCTGCAGCAGAGGCAGCGGCTTTCCTGGTAGTCTGTATATCAGCATAAACAGTCAGTTGATGAGGGAAGCTCCTTTTAGAAAAAGTAGTGAATAAATGAAGAAAAATTACAGAATTAGAGGGGAAAAAAAATCAACATTTTTCTACCCTGCAATAAAATAACGGATTCAGGCAAGGCTCAACATCACCTGCTTAAAAGCATTAGGTAAATAGCTGACCTGATTCTTTTAATAAAGGAATCGGTGTGACATCACCTGAAGCTACAGATCCACCTTAGTATTAATGGAAATGTGACAATCGGACCACACATCACCCTAATGTGGTGCAACAGAAAGCCTAGCTCTTTGGGAAGTTGTTCTATTAAAAAAAAAAAAAAGTAAAACCTGAATTCAATCAAGATTTTGGACTTAACTACTGGTTTACAGGAAAATAAAGGAGTTACAATTTCTTACTATGGCTTAGATGCCACATCTGTAATTTTAAAATGAGATTTAAGTTGGCAATTCTCCCACTTTACCTTCATCTCCTCTATTTTTGTATGATTTTTTAATTTTTATTTCATGTGTACAAATATATTGTCTGCATGTATGTAACTGCACCCATGTCATGCAATGCCCACAGAGGTGAGAAAAGGGCATCAGATCCCCTGGAACTGGAGTTACAGACAGCTGCCATATGGGTGCTGGGAATCAAACCCTTTTCCTCTGCAAGAGCAGCCAGTGCTCTTAACTGCGGAGTCATTTCTCCAGCTCCAGTTTCATCTATTTTTTTTTAACATAAACTACCAAGACAATTTCAATAGGAGGCATGAATATAGACACAAAATATCTCAGTTTGTTTCTTTAATAAGTTCACCTTCCTATTGCTTAACAGTATGGGGCAGAACAGGACTCTTTCTAATGCTTGGGAGGATATTTAATTCATAATTAAACTCCTGATTCTGCATGGGACTAATGAGCTTTGCAGCAGTCCAATCTTGCAGATTTTTAGGCCCACCAGTCATCCTCATTTCCCCAAGACTATTCCAATTTTAACATGGACGTCTTACATCTGAAGAAACGTCTCATTCCAAGCAAACTTGGACAGCTGTTGCTCCATAACGAGAAAGTCCAAATAAAGAACATAAGTCTCTTCAAAAACAATAAAGAGCCATGCAAGTAAGAACAACTAAAGGAACTCATTTTCAGAGCTAAGGTTTTGAGCTGCATTTTCCTAGGAAGGTCATAAGTTAAGAATTTTGGCTTGGCCAGGCCCTGAGCTACAGCTGGGGCCCAGGACCCTGGCAAAGGCTCTGGAGAACTCATATAGTTAAAGGGACAAAGCTGGAGGCCAAGCAGAATCAAATGCATGGCTGATTTATCCTTCAACAGACTTGTCAGATTCTGAAGCTATGCAGGGTAGGACACAAAAGAGCTAAGCAAAAAGCCTCAGAAAAGCAAAGTATAATTTCACCAAATATCAATGAAAGGCAATGACCTACCCAGGATAGGAGCCCTTGGGCCAAGAGGAGGCAAGAGCTGGAAGCTTTGGAGGGTGTTGTGATGATTCCCAACCAGTTTTCTAAGGGGAACAGTTGTCAATTCTGACATCACTAGAAGCTACAAACCCATGCATGATCCCTGTCATAAGTCTGCTTCTGAGGGGTAAGGGGTGTCAGAGAAGCTGGCTGAGGTTTTGGTGGTTGGATTGGAAATAAAGAAAAAGTTGGAGTCTTGAATGGTTGGAGCATTGGTTTTGAACACACAGGGCATTTCCTGAATTTAAGACTGTCTGAGGCAATTAACTAAAAATTTAGCCTGAAAACTTGCTAATAAGGTCAGAGCAGAATTACCTGTGCTCTGTCAAAGTTAAAAAGAAGACAACTCATTTGTATAGAGGTGACCCAAAGTAACCTGTATCTTAAGAATACAGTCTGATGACTGAATGTACTGGTTTGCTAGAGGTGTTGTAACAAAACATCAAACAGCAGCAAAACTAGACATTAATTTTATCAGAGTTCTGAAGCACAAAATCTACACCAAGACTCTGGTAGACTTGGGCTCTCCTCACATCTTTTATTGTCTTACAGACAGCTGGCTACACCCATTTGTAGTCCCCTCCCTATCTTCTCTGGTATCTCCTTCTTTTATGGACAGATTGAATTAGGGTGTACTCCAATGGCCCCAATGGCCTCATTTTAACTTAATCACCTTTTTAAAAATATTTTTATTTTTAATTGTATGTATGCATGTGTGTCTGTATAGGAGTCTGTGCATATGAGTACAGTAACCACAGAGGCCAGAGGCATTGGATTATTCTGAAGCTGGAGTTACAGGCAGTTGTGAGCTGCTCAATGTGGATGCTGGGAAACCAAACTAGAATCCTCTGAAAGAGCAGTATGTGCTCTTAATTGCTGAGCTATCCTTCAGCACCTTAATTTCCTTTCTTAAATGCACTACCTGAATACAGTTATATTCTGAGATATTGGGAGTTAGGGCTACAACATATAAACTGTCAAACACAATTGAGTCCATGCCATGGGGCTGGTCATCCCTCTTCACACAATTTGCTTAACCCCACCCCAAAAAGACCTGTCCTGTTGAATGCCTTTCCTTAAAGACATAGAATATCTGGGGTTCTTCAGGACTTTTAACAAAAGAAAAAGTGGAATTTACAACATTTGATAGTTTTGAAGTGGAATCAAATAAGAAGGAAGGGAATATAAGTAGGTGTGTAAAACAGGAAAATATTAGTAAGGTGGTAGACATATAAAATTAATTATGTCTAAATTACATTAAAAATAAATAGGCTAAATACTCTAATTTAAAGGTAATAGTTGTCAAACTGAAAAGGCAAAGAAACAGAAAACAACCAACCAACAAAAATTAATGTGACTTCTAAGAGATATACCTAAAATACAAAGTGATAGAAAGGTAGGGGCTGGAGAGATAGCTCAGTGGTTAAGAGCTCTGGCTGCTTCTGCAGAGAA